TCCCCACCACATAATTCAAAAGTAGGTACCATGTCCTTTCAACCTTGTTGCCTCAGCACCTAACACAAGAAGACACAGAATGTAGGAGGTACGTGAGAAATGTTTTCTAAACAAATCTTAATATTCTCTTCTAAGATACACCCCTAGGGGGCGCCTGGGTGGCTCAGTAGGTTAAGCATCTGCCTTCCGCTCAGGTCATGATGCCAGGGTCCTGGGATCAAGCCCTATGTCGGGCTCCCTGCAGCAAGGGAGTCTGCTTCTCCCTCTCCATCTGGCCCTGCTCGCATGCCCATGCGCTCGCTCTTTCTCTCTCTCTCTCTCTAATAAAATATTAAAAAATAAATAAAAAATACACCCCTGGATAATACCAAATTACTTATCCCTTCAGACTGCACGGATGTCTTTCACTCTTTTTGAAAACTGTGATGATTTATGCATCCCATTCTCCAAAACTTCTCTCATTTTCCCCACAAGCCCACAAAGATACCTAACCCAGCAATGTCAGGTTTTCCTTCTTTGCCCTCTCTTCTCCCCATCCCCATGAGACTTGAATGCCTTTGTCCAACATTTATAAGCGCCTATGTTCAGTACGCTAGGGTAAACAATGGGCTTACCAAAATTGAGAAATACAGTGCCTTTCTTATGTTCTTTTCTGAGTAAGGTAAACACAGAGACACAACACAGGTGACTATTTTCACACAGGTATAAACAAAGTGCTTTGGGGGAAACAAGTGCCTGCCTCACTTTCTTGCAAGGAAAGACCTGGGAAAACCTCAAGACCACGAAGACGAGATAGAAGAAAACCTAAAGGAGGTTCCTCGGCTCCTTCCCCATAAAGCCAGGTAACTATCTGCAATTATTTCCTGTATGATAAATTCCTTTATCACCTACATTTATCTATTTACAATCCTCAAAGTAAAAAAAAAAAAAAAAAAAAAATCCCCAAATAAAACAATAATGAATTTGTTGTTTTGGTTTTTTTTTTAAATGTCTTTAAGTATACATACAAATATTTGCAGGAAAAAAGAAAATAGGAGGATACAAACCATAATGTTCACGATGGTTCTCTGGATGGTAGGATTAAGGGTAACATATATTTTTTCTTTTCGTACTACCGTTTTCACCAAGGTTTTCTAGAAATAAGCATGAATTGGGGCACCTGGGTGGCTCAGTTGGTTAAGTGACTGCCTTCAGCTCAGGTCATGATCCCAGGGTCCTGGGATCAAGCCCCGCATTGGGCTCCCTGCTCCGCGGGAAGCCTGCTTCTCCCTCTCCCACCCCACCCCCTCCCTTGTGTTCCCCCTCTCGTTGTCTCTCTCTCTCTGTCAATTAAATAAAATCTTTAAAAAAAAATAGAATAAGCATCAATTACTTTGTTGCCGAAAGCAAACAAAAAATTCCAAAAAAAAAATCCAAAAAACCTAAATCTACCACATTTAAAACAAAAAAAAATTTTTTCTTAAGGTAGTACTTAGTGTTTTGTCAAGGGTGAAGTAAACAGGCAGGGGACACGAATTAAATTGACACAACCGTTCTGGTGGTCAATCTATCCATACATCATCCAAAGCCTTAAAATTGCAATTTTTGATTTAATAATTCCACTTCTAAGGAATTATTCCAAAATAAATACTCAGCAATACTAACAAAACTGTTCAAGGATGTATACACATATTTATAATAGCAAAACATTAAAATGAGCTTTACTTTCCAACAACTCATTCACTCACTGAATATTTACTGAGCACCTACTATAATGCAGGCACTAGAGATACGGCAGTGAACAAACTGTACAAAAATTGAGACCGAAGTACCTGCCCTCAGTGGAGCTCAGTCTAGTGGGAGCTGGAGGATGAGATATAAATAATAGAGTAAGTGAGTAAAACAGTTGCATATTCTATTTGGATATAGACCATTAAGAAAAAATTAAGCAGAGAAGGAGAATAGGAAATAAGGGGTAGGTATTATATATAGAAGGCAGTAACATTTGAGTAGAGACTATTGTTTTATTCCTAGAAATTATTTACTACTCCATTAAATCACACCTTTTTAAATTGCTTCGGTGATTATGTAATACATATCTTTATTCTAAATATAGAGAGAAGCTAAGACCTAATGATTCCACAGACCTACCTTAAAAAGTCCATGTATATGGTCATTCATGGTCTGTCTCTATCACAATTTTCTTTTTTAAGATTTTATTTATTTATTTGAGAGAGAGAGAGAGCAGGAACACAAGCAGGGCGAGTGGGAGAGGGAGAAGCAGGCTTCCCGCCGAGCAGGGAGCCCGATGCGGCGCTCGATCCCAGGACCCTAGGATCATAGCCTAAGCTGAAGGCAGATGCTTAATGACTGAGCCACCCAGGCGCCCCTCTATCACAATTTTCAACATTCTTCCATCTTCACTACATTCCCAAGTACCAGTAAATCTGTTCATTTCATCCAACTCTTATTGAACATTTATGTTTTACATCATAATAAAAATGATCTCAGTAAATAGAATAAAGCATCACTAAATTAGTTTCTGTATGGTTCAGAGTTACACGCTGATGGAATGCAATCACTCTAAATTTTGATTCTCAGGTATTCTGGACAGAGCTCCTTACCTCAAGTTCCACAATGAATGTAATATTACATGCAGAGAAACACAGTAGCAGTTTCTATTCATATTGCAGCTTCTAGCTCAGGGTTACCAGAGTTACTTAAGGGTCTCATATATTCTCTTTGCCAGAAAAAATTTTGATAGATACGAAAAAGGCAGTGTGCCTACTTAGACCTCCACTCCTCGGTTTAAAAGCATTTCAGATGACTAAGGGAAGGACCCTAAGCTCTCATAATGCCTGCAGGGTAACAATTAGGTAAAGCTATTGTTTAAGCATGGGACTGGTAACTGTCCTCTACTAAAGTTACTTCACTTCAAATTCTGAATAAAACCTGGGCTGATCAAACTAAACTTCAGAGTACCAGTGAAAAAATGTGTATAGTGCTACTGATAGACTGGGTCAATGACACAATGAAATGACTTTGGGAGCCCATGGTTTAGGGCAGGGACCAAAAAACTTTTCTCTGCAGAAAACCAGAGAGTAAATATGTAAGCTTTTTAAAGCCAGATGGATGGCCTCTGCTTTAACTACTCAACTTTGCCACTATAGTATGAAAGCAGCCAGATAATACGGAAACAAATGGGTGTGGCTATGTTCCAATAAAATTTACTCATAAAAACTTTATTTATAGTCCCACAGGCCATAATTTGTCAATCCATGGTATAGGGCAGCAAGCTTAATGTGTACTGACTCTAGAACATCTCCAGCAGTTTTTCCTTTTGTTTAGGCTAAATTCCTAGTTGTCTCTTTTTCTTAAAGAGAGGGGGAGGCAACTTCCTTAAGTTAGCTGACAAGTTTAATCATGTTTTTACAAAGAAAGTGTGTAAATACAAAAGAGAAGCAGTTACAAATTCTAGATAAAGGCAGAAGAGTTACACACAAAATGGTTTACAAAGTGAGCTATAGGATTTAAACCCACCTTATAAAGAGTCAGTAAGATGTGAATAAAGATTTAGCTAGAAGAATGTTCAACAAAAATATTTTTATAATAATGAAAAACTGAAAACAGCCTATATATGCTACATCTAAAAGACTAAATAAATGATGGTACATCATACAATGCAACCATTTAAGATAATAGAAAACATTTATTGATAAAAAAAAGATACTTTTGAAGTGGTTATTTTTTAAAGCAGGTTACAAAGCTGAATGTACAGTATGATCCCATTTTTGTGAAAATAAATGTACATATACACAAATAAGCATACATAAAACCACCTGCAGACATAAACTAACCTATTTACAGTGGTTATATCATGGATGATAAAAATTATGGTGATTATATCTTCCTCTGGCTTACTTGTAATCTCTAATTTCTTTAAAAACATATACTAATATGGTAATAAAATTATTTTTAAAATACAAACTAAGAACTAAAACAGGTACAGCATTACTTAGGTCAATATTTTCAAAATAAATTCTCAAAGTAGAGAAGCTGCATCAGTTCTTAGAACTTCAAGTAGTGATTTCTCCTCAGTCTCCAAATGCTAGCTATAAGGGCCAAGAAAATTTAGGAATTACATATAAAAAGAAATGCATAAAATAAGTTAATAAGTGTCTTCAAACAGAGAGTTACTATAGAAGTCTGCATCATTTTTCACCTAAACAATCAGGAATGTTTAAGACACCTATCTACTTTATATACTGCCTCTGCAATAGAATAGAAAAAGCAACTATTCATGCCACTGACGAGAGGATCTTCAATCACCAACATTGGGGGGAAAAGAAGAAGAGGGGGGAAAAGTCACACTACAATGTGATGGATCTCAAAATTCCATGAGAATTCCATATTCAGGGTCCAAACACATCTGTAAGAGACTCAAAGTTCAATTAATTGTTATTATGGCAAATGCTATCCCAATCTTAGATGAGCTACAGTTAACAGCCAGTATAATTCTGGACCACCTGCCTAGCCCATCAATAAAATAAAATTCAAATAATAATTCAATAAGAACTATATTTTCAAATAAGTCTATGAATAGCACTCACAAAACAGCATTGTAGCAGAAAACATACACAGACAAAAATGTTAAAATTATATGTAAAATTTTATATACACCTAGACAAGGGCTCAAATGAAAAAGCAAGTGATTTGCTAGGGTGGTGGGACTGCAGGGAGTCAATTATCATTACATAACCATTATCAGTAAAAAACCAAACCAAGAAAATTCCATTACCATTACAAAGCCAGACCAAGAAAGTTTTTTTTAAATACAGAATGCAGTCATTAACCAAACGGTAATTTATTCCTAGATAAGCTACACTGATTTCAACTAGGCACAAAAATCAAAGTCTCAAAAACATGTACATTTATAAACCACCCAACATCTGTACAAATACCTTACTACTATACTAGTAGTATATCCAATATCAAATAGGATGAGATTTTGGAAAACTCACCATTCAGGCCCAAAGTTCAGTGTCTGCGTTTCTGCTGCCATTATTTTCCGTATTTTTACAATAGATTTTTATATGTGGAGAAACCTGTTAATGAGAAAAATATCTCCATACAGTTAATCAAGAGTAAATGCAGAATTCCAGCCCAGAAAAGTCTATCTAGGGTGTTTTACTTATTCCCTGCCTCCATTTAACCAAAACCAACAGAATGAGATTTTTTAATCCCTGTTTATACCAGGATAGCAGGCAAAGTGAAATTCATAAACCATTTAAGTTTATGCAGGCAAAGTGAAATTCAGAAACCATTTACATTTCAAGTCACCATCTTCTTAAGTTTATCTGGGGAAAGTAGGCATGGTATAAGATGAAGCCAATGAGATAGGTAGGAGCAGACCATGCAGGGCACCAGGGACCAAATTAAGGACCTTCTTCATTAGCCACCAAGCAAAAGGGAGTGAATGAAGGGTAACAGATTTACATTTTAATATATATTACTTCCTTGCTCTCCCATCACATGAGGTATATTAAAGATTCTTAAAATAAGCATCCCCCCTTCTGATAGCACAGCTTTCACTACAACTCTCCCCACTTTCTGCTTAGCATTTTATACACTAGTGATTCTTTAAAAAAAATTATCTTGAACCATCAAGTTAAAATAATTCACTAATAAATTTCATGAGTGACCTTTCAAAAACCATTTTAAAATATCAGAGCTTAAAGTTAAGTCAGACAAGAAAAGACAAATACTGTAGGATATTACTTACATATTGAATCTAAAAAAAAAAAACAAACTCAGAGAAACACAGAGTACAGTGGTGGTCACCAGGGGCTGGGAGGTGGGAAAAGTAGGGAGGTATGTGGTCAAAGTGTACAAAGTTCCACTTCTGGGGATCTAATGTACAGCAAGATGATTACAGCTAATAATACCATATTATATACTTGAAAGTTTGTAAGAGATTAGATCTTAAATGTTCTCACCACAAAAAAGAAATAATAAGTATGTGATGGAATGAGGTGTTAGCTTTATGCTATGGTGGTAATCATTTTGCAATATAGAAATGTATCAAATCAATACACTACATGCTTTAAACTTATACAATGCTATGTGCCAACTATATCTCAATAAAGCAGGGGAAAAGAGAGTATCACTGCTTAAAAATGGAAAATACTGTAAATACTATAAATATACTGTAAATATCTCCAAGATAAATTCGCATCACCCTTTTATTTCTGTTTAGAAGATCTAAAAATAATTGCGCCTGGGTGGCTCAGTTGGTTGAGCGACTGCCTTTGGCTCGGGTCATGATCCTGGAGCCCCGGGATCGAGTCCCACATCGGGCTCCCTGCTCAGAGGGGAGTCTGCTTCTCCCTCTGACCCTCTTCCCTCTCATGCTCTCTGTCTCTCATTCTCTCTCTAATAAATAAAATCTTTAAAAAATATATATTAAAAAAAAAGAAGATCTAAAAATAATTGACTAGAAAAAAATGCCTCGCGGCACCTAGCTGGCTCAGTCAGTAGAGCATTCAACTCTTGATCTCGGGGTTGTGGGTTCAAGCCCCACACTGGGTGTAGAGATTGCTTAAAAATATTAACTAGAAATTGGTCAAAAATGCAGAAAAGGCAAAGTAAAACTATGTTAACATCCATAATCAGCTATTAATTTATCCACCTTCTGGGAAAAAAAGAAAAGGGGGGAAAGCTTAGCAGGTGGGGAAAAATACAAAATAAAAGTAAGTAAAAAGTAATTTATCTGCCCTCCTTCTGGAAGGTATTTCTAGCCCTAGTTCAACCCTGAGGGCTCCAGGGAGACACCCATATTCTCTAACTTAACTCTGATTCCCTGCTACCTGGCCCCGCAAGCTTGCACACCAGACTCAAGCTGAGATCAACTTAGTGCCCTCCCTACCTCTTAAGCAACTGGTAATTCAAAACAAAACAAAAAATGTAAGATACATGGTTTTCCACATTTTAACCTCTCTGAAATTGGAATACATCTTAATTAGTGTCCTGTTACCACTGCTCTCACCCAAAGGAAGCTGTGCCACAGCTGTCACTGTCGGCCCAAGGTAAACTCGGTCATAGCTGTTTACTATCATCCTTTCAACTGTCTTGTGGCTAGTACCCAACTTTGAACTGTTGCTTAAAATGTCTCCCAAAAGATTATAAAATGAGTCTAAATTGAAATGAAATGTAGTATATAATAGAAAAGAAAGCAAATACAGCAACGGGATATTAGTGAAGTAACTTTTTGTCATCAGAGAAATGATTGTGAGTGCCTTACGGAACCTGAGGAAAAGAACCAAAAAAACCACATGTAGATGAAGCTTGTTACAGTTTGCTACTGAGACTGGACAATGCACGACCCACATGTGGCCACATGCACCAGCCCCAAAGTATTTAAAGGGGGAAAATTAAACAAAACTTAGACTTAAGAACTTCAGAAGCACCAAATCACTGAATTTCAAATTGATGAGAAAACAATGGAGCAGTCCCCCAAGAAACATTTATTTTTTTTAAATATTTTATTTATATATTCATGAGAGACAGAGAGAGAGAGGCAGAGGGAGAAGCAGGCTCCCAAGGAGCAGGGAGCCTGATGCGGGACTTGATCCCAGGACCCTAGGATCATGACCTGAGCCGAAGGCAGACGCTCAACCATCTGAGCCACCCAGGCGCCCCGAAACATTTCATTATTAATACCCTTAATAACATGACACTACATTGGTGGGGAGAGGGGAGGAAGGAAACTTCCATAATCCTAAATTATTTAGAAGAATCAGACATAATATGTAGAAATTTGAGGAATACCTTAACCAATTTATTTCACTTCTATTCCCTCTTTAACATATACACAACATATATACCATATAATAAAAATCTATTAGACTTATTTGCTAAATAAGTTTAAAAGAACTTTTTTAAAAATGTAAAATAGGGGCGCCTGGGTGGCTCAGTCGTTAAGCGTCTGCCTTCGGCTCAGGTCATGATCTCAGGGTCCTGGGATCGAGCCCCGCATCGGGCTCCCTGCTCGGCGGGAAGCCTGCTTCTCCCTCTCCCACTCCCCCTGCTTGTGTTCCCTCTCTCACTGTCTCTCTCTCACTCTAGCAAATAAAAAAAAAATAATGGGCACCAGGTTGGCTCAGTTAGAAGAGCATGTAACTCTTGGAGCACCTGGGTGGCTCACTCCCTGAAGCGTCTGACTTCAGTTCCGGTCATGATCTCAGGGTCCTGGGATCAGCCCTGAGTCAGGCTCCCTGTTCAGTGGGAAGTCTGCTTCTCCCTCTCCCTCTGCCTCTCCCCCAGCTTGTGCTTGTTCACTCATGCGCGCCCACGTGCATGAGTGTGTGCGCGCGCAAACTCTCTCATATATAAAATCTTTAAAAAAAAAAAAAGCATGGAACTCTTGATCTTGGCCATGACTTCGAGCCCCACTTGGGTGTAGAGATTACTTAAAAAATAATTTCAAAAATTATTCAAAAAATGCCTTTTGAATCTAAAAATGTAAAATAAGAGAGCCATTGCAGATGACTGAACAGAAAAAAATGTAAAAAATTTTAAGTAATTAAAAAACTCTGTGGCAGAGCTTACTTCACAGTATGATTTCTTCTTTAGTAATACATAAAGAATCGCATAACTGATGCATGTTAGATTCAATTAAATTATGGTACATTCCAACTGAAATAACTTGCCAAGGTAGTGATGATCAGAGCCCAAGAAGGTGCCCACTGTAAATCAATAAAGGTATTCTGCTTATACATCATCCCTGTGACCATATTTGGCATCAGTGTGGTTTTAAAAGTATGTGGACCTACTTGGCTCACAAAGACCTGCAGAGACTACATCAACTATAAGACTTTATTGTAATACAAAACATCTTGAAGGAGTGTTTTTACTACCATTTTAAACCCCACCCAGCCAAATGTTTTATATTCAAACCCCTGTGGGAACTTGACCATTGGAAAACAGCTCTGAATTTATAAAACAAGTCAAGATTTGAACCAGATTGAATTTACAAGGCAAATAACTCTCCATTAAAAACTGAATTATTTGGGGGCGCCTGGGTGGCTCAGTTGGTTAAGCGTCTGCTTTCAAGCGTCTGCGTTCAGCTCAGGTCATGATCCTGGGGTCCTGGGATCGAGCCCCGCATCGGGCTCCCTACTCAGCGGGGAGCCTGCTTCTCTCGCTCCCTCTGCAGCTCCCCCTCTCTCTCACACTTGTGCTTTCTCTCTCACACACTCTCTCACGCTAGTAAATAAAATCTTTAAAAAATAATAAAAAATAAAAACTGAATTATTTGATAGTTGTGAAAATATTAAAATCGCTTACAATTAAAAAAAATTCCCCCTTTTAAATTATTAAGGTGACACAGGTCTTGGAAGCACAAAACTCCATGGGCACTATTACCAGAAAGGATGCAAATGGAGTCCCTAGAGCTGTGTAATGCCTAACCTTCCCAACTGCAGGGAGCAGTCTTGAATTACAGAAGCCTTTGGCAGTATCTAAGGAACAAGCAAGGAAATCCTGTTCCTGTCCTGTTTATCATTCCACCTATAAACCTTTCAGGTAGTGCCAAACTACCTACCATACTACACAAACATTAAAAGCTATCTTTTTAATGCCCTGAGCTGGAAACCTAACTACCATTTATAACATAGTTTCCATAAGAAGATTACTTCCTAACATAAAAATTTCTGAAGAACTCTTAAGAACCTGTAAGAATAATCATCTGTGATTTAATTATCCACTAAAAAGACCTGTCTTACACAGAATGGTGTTCCACTTGTTCTCTTTTATGAATTAAAACAGGAAATCTAAGAGTCATGACTGTTGAAAAAATCTCATTTAAATGCTTACAGTACTGTAATCTCTAATTCTGAATTCCCCACCTAAGACTGCTCCTTCCACATCCATTTAAATGACCCCAGTTGGAGTGCGTGGGTGGCTCAGTTGTTCAGTGTTAAGCATCTGCCTTCGGCTCAGGTCATGATCCCAGGGTCCTGGGATCGCCTTTGTGTCCGGATCCCTGCTCAGCAGGAAGCCTGCTTCTCCCTCCCCCACTCCCCCTACTTGTGTTCCCTCTCTTGCT